CCGCCTGGCCGGTGCCCCTCCCTCCTGACCCACAGCCCCACCAGTGCCCCTCACTCCTGGCACTTTATATCACGGGGAACCAGCTCCCCAAATTGGGCTTTTTGCCTCCAATGGTGCCCCTGCCCCCCAGAGCTCCCCAAACTCTACCCTAAAGGACCCCAAAATCACCCCAACACCTGGGCCAGGATGCCCCGACACTGCATCCCTAAAGCTCACGCCCCCCCAAAACTCACCCTGAGCCCCCGAACCTTGTCCAACTCAACCCCCCACATACAGCCTGAGCCCACTCCCCACCGCCCCACTCATCAACCCCTGGCTGCCCCCCTGAGACACAGCCCCTCAGATCCTGCCCCCCCACAGGCGCAGCCCGGCCATGACCCTGCCCCTCCGGTACCTGTGGAAGATGAGCAGCAGGGAGAGCAGTGTTTTGTCAATGTCTCGGCGCCCGGCACCTGGCCGCCCCCGGCTCTGGGACCCCGGCTTGGCCCGGGCGGGGGATGTGCCCCGGGAGGGGACCGGGGAGGCACAGCCCCGGCGCCGGGGGCGGGTGGGGTCCCCGGTGTCCGGGAGGGAGCAGCACCCGCAGCTGCGGGGCTCCTGCTGCGCCTCGAAGGAGCTCACCCGGGACTTGACCGAGATGCCCGGCAGCTCCAGCGCCATCGGGGCCCGACTCCCTTGGGACCCTCCAGAGCCTGATTCCCTGAGCCACCGGGATCCCGGCTGGGGGGGCAGAGCCCCTGGGGGTTGGGGCGAAGGGACCCTGGCTTTCAAGGGAGGCAGACGCCGAGGTGCCCAGCTCTGCTGTGGCACCACCACCCAGCTGTTCTGTCAGCCAGCAGTGCCCAGCCCCCGGTCATTCACTCCCATTGGCCAGGCACCGCCCCCCTTTCCTGGAGGTGGGGGGACTGCCCACATGGGGCATGTGGCACCATGCCCAGCTAGCTGTCGAGAAAGCCCCCCTGCTCTAACCACCAGCCCCCAGTCCCCTCCCAGAGCCAGTGAGAGAACCCAGGAGTCTGGCTCCCACGCCCCCCCC